AATCTTTTCCTTTGAGTGCAAGGCTGGTGCTGGGTGTGAGTAAGTGGTGAAACTAGAAAATACAAACCCCTCGTTATTGTCATACGGGTTGAATTGATTTTCATCTCGACGGTGTTGGATGGGTTGCGTGTGAGTCAGCATTTTAATAATAAGTTCCCTTTGAAGTTTTTAATTTTTCTTTTTTCTTCACTTTTTTCGATTTTTTTTTGAGGAATTGTTTGGTTTATTTTGTTGTTTATTTATAATTAATATATAGTTTAAATGTATTGTATTGTTATTAATAAAAAAATCAAATAATTTGAAAAAGAAAGAATTGATTGTTATTTCTAATTCAATAGTTAAAAATATAGTTCAATAAAGTAATCTATATTTTAATAAGTAAAAATAATTAAAAATGGTTTTTGAAAAAAACGAAAAACGAACTGAAACACAAAGATGATTTTTTTTGCACTTGTGGCCTTTGCGTTTTCATGTGATTTGAAAGGGAAAATAGTCATTGGCTCCAAGCCGAATTTTTTGTCTGGTTTGTATCTCAAAAACCTCAAAACGCCCGAAATGACAAATAGAAGATTTTGTTGATATGCGTGTCGTTCTTGAATCTTCTCAGGGTACTATAACTGCACCAAAATATAAAAACAACACGTTTTTCATATCTGGTCTGACAGACGGGAAGTACTCCATTTACGTTATGGCTCCCCAATTACTCGAAAATTTTGAAACTATTGAAATAGTAAACGATACTATTAAATCGAGAAAATATGATAAAAACCGAGACGTCTTGACTTTACGAGTTCAACAAATCGATTTCACAAAAGAAGTTGCATCATTCGACATTTGGTCATTGGTCAAAAACCCAATGATCATTATGGCTGCGGTCTCACTTGGGTTGTTAGGGTTTTCTAAATTGACCCTTTCAGCAGTCGACGAGGAGGAAGCAAGAGTATTGAAGCATCCAGATATTATCCTCGCCAATGGGCAAAGAGTTGACCCAACAAAGCTCGTTCCAAAATTCGAGTAATTGAGTGATTTGTTGGAACGAAATAACATTTTCATTTAAGAATGTTATTATTTTTTTCTAAAATATACAATGATATAATTAAATAATATTTTTATAATATTTATATTATATGTAAATGAAATTACTTTGAGTGTTTTTCTCGAAAAATAATCATTAAAATACAATTAAACAATTTGCTTATTTTACCAATAAACTATAGTACATAAAACCAACATTTCTAAATACACTTAAAAAAATAAAATAATAATTTTTATTCCCAAAATTTACTGCAAAACAATCAACTTGAAAAAAAGTAATCGACCATAAACGACGTATTTTGTTCAACAAGCAAACCTCCAAAAATAATCCTATTTTCTCATAAAAAAAATTAAATTATAAGATCTGTAAAAATCAAGATGAACAACAACAAGTCACTTCCAGCCGGTCGTTCACGCAAGCTGGAGAAGGAGCAATCCGAGCAATCAGATCTCCAAGCAAAACACGCGTCTTTAGTGAGTGGTGATGACTCTCCAAATGTCGGAAATGTCTTTGTCGTTTGTTCTCGTCAATTATAGTTACAAGTATAGTAAAAAAGTTATTCAGATTTTCACTGCACTTTTTTTTGTTTTAAAAATGTTATTAAAATGTTATTCTAACGAGAAGCAATACGACACCGAAGGATTCAATAAACTGGACATCGACCAGATCCGGAATTACTTACAACACGAGAAGAAGCTTTATTTGACTGATGACCAAATCAAAGACCTTATGTTTGAAGTCGTTCTTCATAGCGACAAAGTCCCGACAACTGAATTCACGTCACTAGATAAGAACATCAACGAGAAGAAAGACGAATTGATTTCCAAATCTAATGAAATTAACACGCCAACACAACAACACGAACTTTGGCTGTTATCAGAGAAGGAGGCTGTACCTCCAAATGCACTTGTGTTTCAACCGGAAGACATCACTATTGTACAGGAAGACAAGCCGAGAAGAATTAAACCGTTTGCTTCTGGCGATGTTCCAACGGAGGCGTTGGACAATTCATTGAACAAGAACGGATCTTTTACACGGAAGAAGACAAGTGATGTGAAAGAAGAGCGTTCGGCTGTCGACACGATCTTTTCGAAGACTACGGTGATACACAAGAAGAGTGTGGAATACGTCAAAGAGCCTCCTACAATTGTCCCCGTGAAACACATTGAGCCAAAAGAGAAGGAAGAGCCGAATGTGGAATACTTGAGAGAAGAAGGAATAGTCTCGAACCCTCGAACGATATACTCAAATACATTTGGAAGCTTAGACAGCGAATTTAAACCAAGTGATGAGAGTAAAGACTTATGTGGGAGAGTTCCTGTGCAACTGCGCAATGAATATGATGAACAGTCGGTGAGTTATGTTGTCGAAGTTACAAAGCTGAAAGTGTCTGATCAGATCCAAATGGGGAAAAGCACTGCTGTGGACAAGAACAAGAAGAAAGAACCTCTTTTTGGAGTCTTTTCTATCTATAAAAACGACGAGAAGAATCAATGCAAAATTACAGAGAACTTCTATATTGATATTAACACGTCAGAACAGCGTGCTGCGATTCGAGAAGTCTCCTGTGACGACGCACTCAATTCCGATTTGAACACGTTTTGTGTGTGTCTTCGGAAGTCTGATGTGGACAAAGGGAATTTGAAGTGTGTGATGATGGTGTATAAGATAGCGGAGTATGACCAAGATGCTGCGCGAGATGTGTACGTAGCCAGTGTGAAAGATTCTAAGGACAAAAATAGCCCCCAAGACAAAGACTTTACACAATTGAATAAGCAGTTTCTCGGGATCGGCTTTGTCGATTTCAATGAAGTTGTGTCGAAGGGAAAGAGCGGGACTATGGCGATCTATAGAGAGACTATAGAAGACCAGAAGGATATCTTCCAAGCGTTTGATTCGGAGAAGAGTGGAAAATTGAAGAAGATGGTGATTGAATGGGAGATGAATGTGAAACCGTTTGACAAGAAGAATGAGAAGAAGAAGTATCGATTGTTAGATCCCTCTGGATTTGATTTAAAGACGGGGAACTCGAAAGCGGCGATTTTGCGACAAATTGAAGATTTCACGAGTTTACAAGACACTGAGTTTTACACGGACTATGTAAATAATGTGTATATCTACCCACTGGAGTTTGCGGTGCCTTCGAAAGAACGAAAGAGGTGCAATTTTGTGATCACGGTGTATGTGAGAGAGAACGACGAGTTTCGAGTGGACCATGATATGGGAGTCTTTTACTCGACAACTTCCGTTGAAAATTCGTTTAAGAAGTCACAAAAGACGTGTGTGGGGAGTGGAGGGAAGAGCGACAAATTCATGGACGAAATTAAAGCCAAATTACCAACACAATTGGCGACACAGAACCACATCTTGTTTGTGATTCAAGACGTCTCGTTGGACTCAAATGGAAGCGACGATAAAACAGTGAAAGACGTGAAAGACCAATCTGAGAGGAAAACATTTTTTGCGACATTACCATTTCTCGATAAAGGGAAATTGTGTGGAGATGGGGAGTACTCGTTGCCTATTTATAACGGTCAACCATTCGAAGGGTATATGTCATCGACGTATAAAACTACTGTTGAATCGACCGATAAAGTGAAAGCGAATTTGAAGATCCGATTGAGGTTTATGACGAGTGTGAACATCCAAGAAACGGCTCTTCATAATTTCTTGGCGTTTGTGAATCAAACGTCGATGACAGAAAGAGACGGGAGTGGAAGAAATGATATGGAAAGATCGATTGAGAAGGCACTTGATGATGTGAGGATGAAGACGCCGCCAGAGACGTTAATCCATCACTTCCCGTATATCATGCAAACCCTCTTCACTGCTTTTCAAGAGTTCAAAGAGTCGACTAATGTACTCAAATACGTACTGGCTATTGTAGAATGCGCTATGAAAGGGATTAACTCAACTGAATTGAGACCTACAGTGTTGGCACAATATGTCGACCACTACTTTGATCGACCAGAAAAGAATGGAAGACCCCTCTTCTCTTTATTAATGTCGTCGTTAATGAAACTCTTTAGCGAAATTGCAGAGTTTGACTTCCAAACACAAAAGGAGATCCAAAAGATCCGAGTGGTGTCGTTACTGAAGAACAGTTGGTTCTTCTATGAACTCATAGTGAAGTCTTTGACGATGGACGTCGAAGCGAATGGCCAATTGAATACCGCGTCCAGTCTGAAATTCTTCAGAAATCACATTTCGAGTTCTGACGAGTATACGATATTCTCAAAGACTTTAATTCGGTTTGTTGATGTCCACTCCTGCGTCATGAGAAGAATAATATCAGTTGCGACGGAAGGAGATAACTCATATCTGTTCAATCACGTCTTCACAGCAAACGCACACTTTGCACTGTTCTTGACCGACTTGATGAGGTTCTTTAGACGGAATGTTGTATTAGAATGTCTTGATAGATACATCTCAATAGTTGGGAGTGTCTATGACCCTATCTCATCGACATACTTCACACCAAATGATAAGGACTTTAGATATGCGGCGCCTAACAACTTGTTCTTCCCGAAGAGTAATGCGAAGGAACAAGCCATTGAAGACTCTAAATTGGCGAGACAAGCGGCAGAAGTCCTTCGGATTGACTTATTGTCGATTATGTCATCGTTTCCGTACTTTGTGGAGATCAGTGTACCGGTGGTCACACCAACGAAGGTGAATCAAATACAACAAAACTTGAATCAGTACACGTCTTTGATCTCACAACGACATATCTATGCGAATATCTTCTCAAGAAACATCTTATTGCTGTTGTCGAGGTCTACGATGACTGCTAAATATGCCCTTGCCGTGTTGATGAAAAGAATTATGTTACTCGACACCGACACAAGACTCCAGACGCCACAAACGAAGGCGGCGATCTCAGAAATGTTCTTTGGTGTTGTACTTTATTTGGTTGAACAAGAGAAGATGCCGTGTGCGATATGGTCTCCTGGGAATACCCAATTCACGAAGATCGAAGTCGAGAACTTCTTCATTGCGTTTGTCTGGGTGCTGAAGAACATCAACCGGAATGTCTTGAGTTATTACTTCTCGACAGAAACATCTGCACACATCTCGTCGTTCCTTGAGATGGTGAAGATGTGTTTGACGGTGCTGACGAAGAAGACGGAGGCATCACGAGATCTTCAAGATGATGTCAATTTCAAGAGGGAAACTGTTGTTCTTTCCTTTAAACGTGAAGTCCACCAAACACAAGTACCTCAGACCCCAACTAAAGGGACATCAAGAAGTACTACAGAACACCAGAATTCGTCGAACTCCACTTCTGTGACTGAAAAGAGTCCGAAAGAGCGAAAGAAGAACAAACATGATACGACGAATTGGGAGTATGTGAAAGATGATGTGCTGTTAGTGTTACTTGATGTCGTTGAATTGGCATTTAACGGACTCTTTGGACGAGAGAATTATTTAATGCAGATTCTGACCAATTTGATATCGACGACAATGTTTAAGATAGAGATGACGGAACACTACGCGAAACTTTTCTTAAGGTTTATTAGAAGACTTCTCTGTTCGAAGGCGAATTATATCTTCAAGGAAAACATTGAATTTGGATTCAATTTGCTGCGTTCGATCATTTCGTTGTGTGACAATCAAGCGTATGAGTTGAGACAAGACGCGACGTCTGTGTTGTATTTGTTTGCTAAAGCGAATTATCAGGTGACTGGAGATACCCTTTCTTCAAGAGTTTTTGCGATCTCCGCGATAGCAGAACGCGATTCGAGTAACTACGCGATACTCTCCAAATCGATTGAAGTGTTACCTGCGTGGGCGAAGCTTGATGCGACTGCAGTGTCACAGACGAAAGTGGTGAATAAAGTAGTTGAGAAGAACACGGATGACTCCGACACGAAGCACCAACAAAGCACATTAAAGCGTCGGAAAGATTTGATAGAAATAATCGATGCCGAGAGAGGAGGAGATGGGCGATGGTGGGCGAAGAAACGAATGCTACAATTTCTCCGTCGGCGGTGGGAGAGTTCGCCGCCGACTATTGAGGCGATCGATCAGATCTTAGAAAAGATGGAAGAGAGTGTAGAGAAGGAAGGGCGAGTGGGAGAATTGCGAAGAAAGGCTACGGACCAAGCGATGGTGATCTTAGTGATGTTCAGAAACATCACCGCGAAGGTTGCGTTAGAGAACGATTATACACAATACATGAAGTGGCAAACGGAGCAATGAAAG